ATGCCCAGGTCCAGCCGCCACACCTTGTCGGCCTGGCGCAGGCAGTCGATGCGGCGCATCTTGCCCTTCTGGTCGGGGTTGGAGAGCACGCAGCCCGGCGCCTTCTTGCCGGTGATGGCCAGCACGAAGTCCTCGCGGCACTCGGGCCGGATGTCCTTGCGCAGCTTGGCCAGCAGCCGCGACGCCCACTTCTGCTTCACCTCGGCCTTCTCACCCAGCAGCTCGTCCTTCACCGCGCGCTCCTCGTCCTTGGACATCCGCTTCTCGTGCTTCTTGAAGTACTTGCGCTTCCGCGCCTGCAGGTTGAACCAGGTGTAGGCGAAGGCGCGCACGTGAGGCAGCAGCGCCTCGATGAACGGGTGGAACTCATCCTGCGGGCAGGAAAGGCAGGAGGTCAGGAGGCGCTGGGCACCCGGGACCCACAGCCCGGACCAGAAGACTCAGGCTCGGGAACCCCCAAGCAAACTCAGTAGACAGAGGAGGGAGAGGCGGGGACCACTGCAGACCCCTCCACCTCCTGGGGAAAGCTGAGGGGGCCCAGCAGAAGTTTCTGGGGGACAGGTGAGAACTCCTTGCCCACATGGGGAAACTGAGGCTTGGATTAGATGGACAGCCCAGGCCAAGAAAGGCATTCATGGCCCGGCCAGCATGGCTCAGTGGTTGAGCATCGACCTATGAACCAGGAGGTCACGGTTGGATTCCTGGTCGAGGCACATGCCTGGGTTGCGGGCTCGATCCCCAGTGTGGGGTGTACAAGGGGCAGCCGATCAATGATTCTCTCTCATCACTGATGTTTGCATCTCTCTCTCCCTCTCCCTCTCCCTCTCTGAGAAATAAAAATATATTTTAAAAACATTTTTTAAGTTGAAAACATACTATTCGAGGCATTCCTTTTCCCTCCCATTACTTCGTACTACCTCCCTAGAACCCAGAGAATGAGTAAACCTAGTAGCATTGCTCAGGGTTGACTGGAGAGAGATAGAGAGTTAGAAACATCGATGAGAGAGAGACATCGATCAGCTGCCTCTTGCACATCTCCTACTGGGGATGTGCCCGCAACCCAGGTACATGCCCTTGACCGGAATCGAACCTGGGACCTTTCAGTCCGCAGGCTGACGCTCTATCCACTGAGCCAAACTGGTTTCGGCGAAAAACTGTCTTAAAACCCAAAACAGGACAAGCTGAGGGTTCCAGGTGGAGACTGATGGGGACCCATTGTACAGATGGGAAAACTGAGGTCGGGAGAGTGAGGATGTCATGGATCCATTCTCTGCCTTCTAGAACTGGGGTTTGAAGTACCATAAGAACAGACAGTGAATATTTTAGTTGCCACTATTCCACTCTACACTGTAAGTGCAACCTAGGTAAGATGTAAATGGCGAGGCCCCACTCCTGATGTTGGGGTGGCACCTCCTTTCAGCTGTACTGCGGGTGCTCCCCTCATCATCCACCCTGAACCCCTCCAGAGGCCAAGTGAGGCCCGTCCTTACCCCTCATCAATCCCACGCCTCCAGTCAGGCGGAGTAAGGCGCACACTGTGCTCTGGCCTATGCTGGGCCCCCTCCAGCCCTGGAGCCCGCAGGGTGGGAGCAGGGAGGTGCTACCGGTTCTCTCTGCCATTCGACTGACATCTGCCTGGCCGAGAACAGACTTAACTCTGGCCAAGAACAAGGACAAGAGTCCTGGGGAAAACGGCAGGGAGCCGGGGTCCAGCAGGGGCTCCCGGGGCAGCCTCGGCCCCGGACCTTGGAGGAGGCCTTGGCTGCTGGAAGCCTGGAACACAGACCCAGCCTGGGGGTGACCAAGCCGTGATGACTGGCTGCCCATACTGCAAACCACCATTTCCCTTCATCCCTTTCTGCCATGGAGTGTGGCAGGCTGGAGGGTGTCAGCTCAGAAGCTGCCTACATCCAAGTCCCACTTCTCCCCTTCCTTGGCTGTGTGACCTTGGGCAGTCCCTTCTTCGAGCTTCTGTTTCCTTTTCTGTGAAATAGGTACCACAATGATTTCTACTCGTGGGGCTGCTGGAAAGACGGGGAAGAATTGCTAAGCTGTCAGAAAACAATGCCTCACAGAGAAAAGTGGGGCTAGGAGTTGGAGTTTTGAAGCATGAGTAGGAGTTTTCCATACGGGAAAGGCATTCCAGGCAGAGGGAACAGCAGGGGCCAAGGCCTGGAGGTGGGAAATCGCAATCGTAATGAGGATGCACAGTAACTATCCATGGGGCCCTAGCTCTGGGCCTGGGCCTTGTCTTCAACAGCTATGAGCACCCTGTGCCTACAGACGGGTACTGTCGAGCTTCCCATTTTACAGACAAGAAAACAAGGCACAGAGAAGTCAAGTGACTTGTCCTAGATCACCCAGCAGCAGGCAGCCGAGTTAGGGCCAGAATCCAGGCCCAGCTCTCATACACCACCCCCACTGCAGGCCGGCTGGGGCGGGTCAGCTGGGTCCAGTGTGAGCAGGGATTCCCCTGGGATAATGGAGTCGGCTGGAAGCAGGGGAGGTTGGTAGCCTTGACCTTTCCTGGCCCTCATTCAAGGAGGTTGACCAGACTGGCCAACAAAGGCTGGAAGTGGGGCTCGAAGGTGTCTGGGGAGGCCTGGAGGCCCAGCTTGCCTGC